TGAGTAATTACTTTGAGGAATGGAGAGAGGGAACAACACAGACACAACAGGCTATGGGAGAACAGGTATCCTACTAAGGTTTATACACACGGCTTTTTTAAGTAGCAGGAGAGGCTACACTGCACTGGGTGGTACAAATATGTTACCAAGCACTCCTCTGCTTTTGACACCTTTGAGTCAAAAGTCCCTCATGCAGAGCTCCACGCAGAAAGATCTGGGTGCTGCACCTCTATAAAGGATGCAAAGCGATGAAAACCAAGGACATGGCAGGACGTAACATGGGAGGTGAAGGGTGGATTCCCTAAAAGCTGCGAGCACACTGAAGTGTTCCGATCCAGGCTAGAACACAGCAGAGAAAAACACAAGACAGGGCAGTAAGCCTATCTCAGGCTTTTTCTCATTTAATTTCAGCTTTATCACTGAGCATTTGCATACAAGCTTGGAAACAGAAGCAAAGCTCTAGTTTGTTAACAGCTAAGTGGAGATGCTGCTGCATAAGCAAACACCATGCAGCTGAAGGAGGCAGAGAATGGAAACACCTTTTGGCTGCTACCTCAGGTTTCTGGTGCACACCAAGAGACAAGGAGACGGAACAGTTCAAGGATCACTTTAAGCTGTGCAAGCTGACAATAATCTCTAAAGGCCGTAACATATCAGTGTTCTCTAGCAATCTGAAACAATACCTTCTGGTCCCAACACAAATGACGCCAAAACAAGGACAGACAAGCAGCTTGCGCCAGCTTTGTGTCATCTGAGAACAATGTGGGCTCAAGAATGCCTGAGAGGCCAAGGATCTGACTCCCGCTGCGGTTTGGGTAAGTTTCAACTCCCCGCAAGAACAAGGTATTTTGGGAGAGCCCTCGTGGTAAAATGAAGTTTCTTGGAGTGAGGGCAATCTGGACAGCTGGAGGGATCACGCATTAAAATTGCACTTTTCTACTCCTCTGCAGATTATGTTTTCATGAAGGTCTTAAGTTGAAAATAGTTAAAATATTAAGTCTGTTTTTGTTCTGGTCAGTTTCGTGAATTCAGCTGAGTTTGGAGCAGATACAGAATAATCCTCACAACTAAAAGCATTTGATTAACTGAACAAGTTGACATTTGGCTTATGCAGAGAACAGACTTAACAGACTTCCAGAGCTGGAACCGCCTTTTCACTTTAGACTTGGTTCTTCACAACAGCCTCAGGGAAGCCTGAACACTGCCCACACCCACTGCTTCTTAGGCCAACAGGTTGCTTGGGACTGGGCTGAGGCACTACTCATCTGGCAACTTTCATGGGCAGTAATTAAAAAACCCACAACTTTACTTTACAGTCATGATGGAGTTTATATGCTGTATCAGTGCTGCTCATCTGACTCCCTGGTGGATACAGGAGATTTTGCATACGAACACAAATATTACTTTTTCTACTACTATTTAGGCCCGTTACTACATATAGCAGTTGTAAATGGTGCTGACCTGATTACAACCTTATTCTCATGTAATAATAATATTAATACCATGAACTGGTACAGAAGTTCCCCAGCATCTTATCTGTATTACTGGATGCAGGATTATCGTCAGCTATGCATAAGCAGTTTCTAGGGCGTTGACTGGCCCAGACTTAAATAGGTTTTATTTTTAATACAGCAATATCATACAGAGGTAAAATAAACCTCTGCGTTATGAAATTAGCTACTACACTGCAGGCACCCTATAGAAATAAGCGGTTACCTCATTTACTAATGACCTGTGAGAAACAAACTCCACATGTATGTTGTTCCTCAGCTACCGTTCTAGAAAGCGGCTCAATCTGTTAACTGAGCACAGTAAATACCTAATTAAATTAAATCTCCAACAAGCCTGAGAAAAATGTATTGAAAGCACTCTGCTTGATTACAGACATTGGTCTAAAGTAACAGACCTATTGATCTGGTCAACCTCAAGCTATCCGCTTCACCCAATTTAATTTGAGAAAAATAATAACTAAATTTTAGTTGGATCTCCTTTCCCACTCTCCAGGGAAATAATCTGAAGTGACTCTGAGTTCAGGTGGCATACAGAAAATATTTAATAGGTGAAAGAAAACATTTATTTTGTTGCAACTATGGACACAAAGTTACATTTAAAATGCAAATATGGTTTCCCATGCACCAATTACATAGTGTTGCTAACAGGGTCATATGCCATGAACAAACTTCTCTGGTGGGGGCAATAAACCAGTTGTTCTGCAAGTTCAGGATGATATTAAAAACCGTATTTCAATAAAGTCCTCTATAGGTGCAAAATAAATGAAAACAACTGCAAAAAAAAAAACCTGCCAGCTGTGCCTGAATAGAGGCTGCTTGATTTTGTTATGCTCTGTGCCAATCCAACATTAACCCTTCGTCTACTGGGCAAGACATCTACCCAATCTATCCAAGAAGAATTTCCTTAATTAAAGAAGAATGAACATTTAAAATGGCTTGCTGTGTACGAAAGACAGCTCACAGTCTCTACAGAGCAATTCAAGACTTACCATCTCCAGGATCCGAGGTCTGAACACAGTTCGGGTCAGTAACATCCCACTGCTGCTATCATCTGACAATTGCTCTAGCCACTTACATGAAATAAGTTGATGACCTCAATTCTACTTCCACCAGAGATGCTTCCATAATAGAGAGACATCAGTAACACATGCAGCATTCCGCCAGCAACTACTAGATCAGCACGATTAACACACTATCCTTTCAGTCCTAGGCCCTGCCTATACTAAGGAAACTCTGAAATATTCAGTAACGTAGCCAGCACTTCTGTGGCTCCACAAATGCTTGGTTCACTGACGATTTACAACTGACCAAGTCAAGCAGTATCCGCATACACAGAACTAAACAGCGTTTTCCTCATCATCTAATCCAACCCTCTGCCACTGCTGGCAGCCAGACAAAAAACATAAGAGTTTTGTGCAGAGATACTAAGGCTAGCTCTAGAATTAATGAAGCTGTATTAACTGGGCCAATTAAAAGTACGCTTTTTTGCTTTCCTTTGGATACGATCCTAATGTAACAATCCTGGGTTTAATAGATATCCCCGCATAGTCATACATTTCATTATACAAACATAACTTTAATATTTTCAAAGTAGTTTGTCAGTAGCCTTACTCCTTACTGTTTCTTCAGAACCACAATCCTCTTGTCTGTTAGACACCTCATAGTCTAATTTCTGCCCTAATATAGTGGTTTATATTAATCTGTTCTTGTTCCAGTTTTGTCCCTAAGTTTGAACAGCCATTAGCTCCCATTCTTACTTGCTTTCTCCAGCACTTGTAAAGAGAAATCAAATTCAGATTTTGCTTTGCCAAGTTGAAAAGAGTTGACGATCTCTTTAAGTCACTTCTCCAAGTAAGCTCACCATCTTCTACATCTTTTTTTGCCAATTTAAACTGAACCTTTTCGAGCGTAAGAGATAAGAACTACCTACAACATTCCAGGTTAGATCTCACCACTCTTTATACAGTCTTTCCAATCTCTACTGGAAATAACTTATGTGGTACATTGTAGGCTTGAATTTGCCACCATGCATCAACTGCTGAGCCATCCTGGTCCCTGAGGGTACAAACACCAATTCTTTCCCCTTTTCTGTTTTTTAACTGAGGAGCTCCTGGCTGTCAGCATAAATTCTTGTTACCAATCGTTTAAGCACCTTAACTTGCATTCCATACTTCTCAAAATTTAAATCTTTTTCTATTAAATCTATCCTCAAGGCTATCTATTTTCTTCTTGTTTGATATCCAGTATTGATCTGTATCATCTGTAGTGTCAATCTGCATTTGTGTAACCAAATTTCACAAGCACATGCTTCTATTCTCTGTCCGCTTGCCCCCTCCCCCCGATCCTGCAATAATTCACCAAGTGCATAAATACTACTTCTGTAGCTCAAGCGGTAGTACTGCCTCTGTTTAAAAAGAAGCGTCACTATAAAACCAGTCCAAAAACTTCAGGACTGAAAACAACTTACACTTACAGTACATAATAAAACTAAATTTTACAAAGGAAAAGTTGAAGTAGTCTTGTTTTATATGATAGCAGATTACCACTCTTCCCTTAGCACACATACCTTTTTTTAGTGTTAAGAGAGGCTAGAGAATTTTGCAAAAATAATTTGTGGCTCGGTATCTGAAGACTGGAGGTCTCATACAACGCAGCTTCACGCTAAAATGACACAGTCACTACAGAACAATGTTGTTTTAGAAAGACAGTATTTGCATAAAAGTTCAATCTGCTGCCAGTAGGTAAAGAGCAACACCTGCAATAATTTTACCAAGATATAGTGGTCTAAATTGCCACTCAAATTGAACACAAACTTGAAAATGCCTGTTTTAAAAACAAAATTATTTCATATCTAGCCAAAACTCTGCAGATTTAACACAGACAAAGCTAACAAAGTTTAAAAGTTACAAAGATTGAGGTCACTTTCTCTTGGATTTTTCATCTTTTTTGTGAAAAAATTTCCAGGTTTTTTTTTACTTTGGACTCCACACAAAGCACAAGGCCTTTATCTGACCTTGCAGCATCATAAAATGTAGACAGGGAAGCAGGACATGGCTGGGACTACGCATTGTTCAGTTCTGAGAATTATTACACTGACAGGAGTCCTGCTCTTTTTCTTTCTCCTAATCACAAATTGAGTTCCCATCAAAAACAAAGAAATATTTGTTGTTTACAGGAAAAAAAAATGCCTCACAGGAAAATTCACTAAATGAACATCTGCTTTCTCTATAGACAAGTTACATATGCTTCCTTGGAGATGAATATCAGGTTTTCTGTTAGCACATGATTTCTGACATCAGGTTGTTGTACACCTTGGCTGTTCATCACACACTCTTTTTCAATTATGTTCAGTTTTGTCCTAGTTCTGTAATTTGTATGCCTCAGCTTTAAAAACAAAAAGCCCTACAGCCAGTACAGGGAGCTTGTGCTGGTGACAAAATTATACAGGCTAGGAGGAACAAGAAGCCATCATCTATGCAGCAGCCTTACCCTTCTACGCAGTCTGTCCCTTTCTTCACGAATAGCATTCATGGTGGCCTTGGTCCTGTTCAGCTCCTCCTCTTTGCTACACAGCATGGCCGTGAGGCTCTCATTCTCTTCCCGCAAGCCAGCTAGCTCCTTTTCCCATCGAGATCTCTCTTCAGATAGATTTGGATAAAGGTCACGTCCCAGTACACCCTCAATCTCTTCTACGGTCTGCAAAAATAGTGCCATCAAAAACCAGAAAGAAGCAGAGAAAGATGATTCAACAAGACTAATGGTAACAGGACAGAAGTGCGTAACAGGCAACTCTATATACTTATATGTACACGGCCAGCCCCACAACACCAGCAGTTTGCTTCCTTTGTTTGATAAGTAATATCAAACAAAATTATTGCTTATTTTGTTTGACAGTTCAACCATTTTATTAAAATTTTTCATACTGATCAACACCAAAGCAGAGACTTTTTACAGGCAAATAAAACATATGTGACCCATGAGTGACAGTAATCCCAGTAGTTTCATCTCAGAACATTTTAAAACAAATTAATGACTCCTTGTCATGGGTGAGCACTGTGCTTGTTGTTTCCCTGCCTGAGGAACAGACAGAAAGTAGCAGCCTGCGAATGTGCATGGCATGGGGCCTTTCTTAGTTTTAAACCAACTCCACAGAAGGGGAAAGAAAAGGGTGAGACAGTAAAAAAAGAAGACTCTTCTTTCCCATGTCCCTGAGCATGTTCTTTCCTAGAGGTGACAGAGAGATAAAAGAAAGAAAACTGGCCTTGGCTAGGCTTACATTATACCATATAATGACATATAATGCCATTTAGCATTTCCCGCCCCATCCCCTTGCTCAGAACTGTGCCTTGTAGGCACTATTCAGCATGAACGACATTCAGCTACTTCCACTGGGTGAAACTAAACTACACGGACACACCACGAGCAAGGGAATACTGCCATGCCTAAACTTACCGTCAGACTGGTCATTCAACGTGTTAAAACACAGCATAACGCTCAATGTGTCAGGTAACTATGTTCTGATTCTACTGCACAGCGTATGTGGTGCCTGTGTTAAGTTTTTTCACTCATGGAAGACCTTTGCAACAAGCAAAAACCCTCCAATTGTTGCTTATAAGCTTTTGAATCTCTCTGAAAGAGTCTGCATTAAAATGTTAGGAAGAAACATGGAAAATAAACGAATATATGATGTAACTAGCAACCTAGAAAGTTTCATTTTGTTGGATAATCCAAGAACAAGTTATAGCTAAAGCCTACACTTTTAGTATTAATATGGAAGATAAATAACTCACGTATCAAGGTTAAAAATAGTCTATTTTGCTGTTTTATTCAAAAGGACTTAATTTTTATATATAACAAAAATTAATAACCAAAGCTCATGTCCTTAATTTGGGAGGGACTAAAGGAACCAACTAGAGTACAGGTGAAAATGACAAACCAAGTTGAAAATACAACTCTGCTTTTTTTCTGAAAGAAATCTTCCCAGTGTTTTCAGCACTGTCTGACACTGAGGTATCAGTGAAATTTTATTATTTGTCCATTATAATGAAAAGTCGGTTTTTTATTGTTATCTATACATTAATCTCAAAGAATAAATCTTGGCTACAGCAAGACTCCTTAGCGAGGAAGAAAAGACACTCATACAAAAGGAAAAAAACTATTTTTAACAACTAGTTCAAGACACCTCTACGGAACAAGCAGGGACAAAACTTTTGCAATCAGGTTCAATTTATTCTTCTAAATCGTATTTCATGTCTCTCTTCCATAAAACTGCAATACGTTTAGAGTCATAAATATAAAACTCCATTGACCGAGTATCTACACTGTAATTCTGCTTACATATTTGGTAGTAAGCTTAAATTACTTTTCTAAAGAGCAATGTCTTGCCACATCTCTGTAAGATGAAAGAAGCCGCAGCTCTCCCTTAGTTTCACTTGGACCTATAGGTCTCAGACTATGACAAGGTAAGTTATTTCAACACAACATGAGGATGAGTTCAGGTTCTGAATAAGCATAGGGCGGTTAATCTTACAACGTGAAGAAAAGCTCTGTAATGGCAGGAGCATTCTCTCTTGATGATGCCAGCTTTATTTTAAATAGTGCCTCTTCATGACTGTCTTCTCCTCTCCCTTTTTCCCCCAAAACTCCTCTCCTCTTTCACGCACTTCCCCTGCTGTTTCCTCACCCCTCTAATGCCAAGTTCTGCTGCTGCCTCCTTCCTCCTTCCTCCCCATGCTCCTAGTGCTGCTGTTTTTCCAACCCCTCCCTTTCCCAAGCCTCTTCTCCTCCTTAGAGCACTACTGGGGGTGATCAGCCTGGAGCAACACTGAAAGAGGAAGGACTGTCACGAGGAAGCAGCAGCAGTGGCTTGACACCACAGAGGTATCTTCGGGCAGAGACGCTGCTGCTGTTTCTCCAGACTCCATTGCTACCATCTGCCCACACAGGTACAAAGTTCAGGCAGTAGCAGCATCAGCATGGGTCTGACAGTCGTACTAAGGGCTGCCCTATACAAGTTCCTTAACAAAGCTGAGAGACCTTTCTGCTTGCTTCTATGCTCCTTCATTTTGACGTGATCAATATCCTTTTGCTGACTAAACCATTACCACTATTCTCTGGTTCGACGACCAACATGCTACCAACCTCCATGGCAAATAGAACATAAATATTGTACATGGATATATCTATGCAAACTACCGTGTTGTTTGTTTTTCTTCAAAGCAGTATTACAGAGCAGTTTTATCCGGCATGCTGCTGCACAGCAGATAAAGTCAGGTACAATTTCATGGATTACAGGACTGAATTACGATGTACTGTTCCGAGCACAGGGCAGGCTATCGTATCATGGTAGTTCCAGTCTTGTCTCTGACACTGCCATCAGTACTCTCTGCCCGAGATTCCTTACAAGAGGTGTTGTGTTACAGACACGGTATCAGATGAAATCAGCAAGTATCAGGTTTAAAAGAAGCAAAAAGCAGCACTTTTTCACAAGGCATAACTCAATGGTAGAATTTATTTCTACCAGAATTTATGGAAGCCAAAAACTTAGATGGGTTGAAAAACACATCAGATAGAAACATGGAAGAAAATTCCACCCATGACTATCAAACACAGAGACATCAACTCTGGCTCAAGAAGTTCCTAAATCCACCTTGCTAGACGCATCTCTGAAGGAAGGAGAAGAAGGACATACTATGGATGTCCTTTCTTATGCAGTCTTTCCATTGGCCATCTGCCACTAGACAGATGGACTTTTGGTCTGACCCACTGCAGCTGTTCTCGTGTTCTAAATGGTTCATGTTTGGAAATATTTACATCTTTTTTTAATCGGCAGAGTTTTAGTGGTAGGTGTCTGTTACTGATAGTTATTTCTCTTCAAAATATACGAAGCACTAACCAGCCTACTCTGTGGAAATTTTCTTAAACAAAGGATAGTTTTGTAACTGTTCAGTTTATCAGACAATCTGATAAATGTCATTTCAAGATCTTTTCATTCTTTGTGGGACAGAAACAATTGAGCTAGCTAGGGTCACATGATTTGTATAAAAGAAGCAAAAAAAAAAAACTTGCCAGCAACAGCATTAAAAGAAACCCAGTGAAATTTAACCGCCAAAGCAGAAGGATTCAAACCATTTAAATGCATTAGTCCACTGGGGAAGAAAAAAGCCAACAGTCAAAGCAAAAGACGGAGTATTTCAGGTTTCCGTTCATGATTCCACCTGTCTTAAAACTCTCTCAGTTCTCTGTCTGAGGAAGCAGGAGAGGAGAAATGACCGGCAGCCATGGGTGGAATTGTGGAGAGGGGCTCTATGCATAGGTTTTGCAATAATAAACACACTGGTGACACTCCTCCCTAGCACATAATCGGAGCATGTCAGAGAGATTCCTATCTTCCTGAAAGGTTAATAGACTTTGCATGCTCTCACTTGTCAAATCCCAGGCTCTACAGCACAGGCAGAGGGGAAAAGCTTTCCCCAGAAATGGCTAGCCTGTAGAGATCACATGAAAACAAAAGGCCTGCATTTTGGATCAGGAAGAAGCTGCTGACAGTTACTTATAATTATAAAAGTTCGACTGTAGTTAATTTGAATCAACACTAAATAATGGGGTTAAAATAAAAAGCTTGATAATTAAGCTTATGGCAGCTATTTTGACATTTTGTTGAATCCACCTCCTGCAGAAGTTTTCATCTCATCTCACTTTAGAGACCTCTGTGGACCTCACACAAACCAATCTCCCCGTTTTCCAGGATCCACAATCTCTCTCTTGGTGAATACTGACTTCTGAGAACACCCTAAAACTCCAGGTAATACTGGGTAACATTCAAAGTATTGATCCTAATCCTCTGAGATACTCAAATAAACTGCTTTAAGACCGCTCCCAAGAGACCCAGAAGTCAGCCTGTCTCTCTCTCAAATATACCCACATTCTTCAAACTACTACTCAACATTAATGTCTTTATAGGCCATTATACTCCCCAGGCACCACCAAGGAGAGAGGGGAACTTTCCCAGTAGTACGCCGAAGGGCTGCCTAAGCCATCTAGAACGGTCACAGACCTCTCCACTTCAAGAGCAAACTGTCAATATGTTTTTTCTTACATAAACGAGTCACTGACACCTTTCCTTCTGACACAAAAAACTTGCTCAGCTCTTTCAATATAGTAAGATACGCTATGGTTCCCTCGCTTTCAGGTTCTGAACTGCAATCCCTTCATTACATGTGCTATCAGGCATTCCTCTTCGTGTTACATGCACAATAAAACCAAGACATCCAAGTATCAGTTGAATTAGTTGTTCCTGTGTCTGGCTTGTCTCATTAGAATCAACATACCACACATACTTTGTGGTAAATACTAGCTTCATATTTTAAGACAGCAAAGTCACAACTTAACGTATAGCTTATGGCATTTTATCTTCATATTTTAGCAAGTGTTACACATTGTGTTTTCAGTTACCGGTCAATGACTAGCTGTGTGACCTTGGGCAAGTGACAACTTGTTTGCTGGATAACCTTCAGAAAGTAAATTAACTGCTGAGTGTCCCTGTTTTTCTTATCTCTGAAATGAGCATAAGACAAATACATTTCTCATTTGAGATCGAAAGTCTATTAGCAGCTCCTTCTGTGCCTTGGAGAATTGAGTGTAAAGCAGGCGTTCTACTGCTTACCCAACACACAGTGTGAGCTGGAGTTGATTTCTCTGAAGTACTCTGACACCTTTGGAAGTAAAGTGCTATTACTACAGAATGTGGTCAGGTGTCTCAGGCAATGTACACACTGCATTTAGAACCTAATGTTACCGTTACCTTAATGGCTAAATCACAATGTTCACTGGCGGTAGTGAGTTGTTCAATATGTCTATCCACTTCTGCTACCGATAAACTGCAGCTGCTTTTCTTCCTCCCGCAGACAACATTTTCCAGACCTGTCAGCACTCTTTGCAGTTCTGAATTCAAGTCACTACAGTTATCTAAAAGAAAGCAAAACGAAACAAAACAAATATTGCAACGATTAGTGACTCAGTGAAAAAACAAATTCTAACCTAGGAAGTGCCTGTTGCAGAACAGCTAGGACTGATACTGTTCAAGGAATGTCCTTGCAATCTGCCACTTTTTCCTCACCAACTGATAGGCTTAAATACCATAACCACATCAACTGAGATCATGAGTTACCTCCTATCTGACAAATAACACTCCCCCTACTTATCTGAAGTGTTCATTCTTTCTTCAAAAACCCCTCTTTGCTGAAGGACAACAGTTTAAGACACCACATGCTCACATACTATACCATTTCTTTTTTGTTAATTCTTTTTGCCATTCAGGGCCTATTATCCTGATTTTATTACCCTCAAAGGTTTTTCTCTGTAAATTCAACATTTTTTCTGCCTGGTACATTCACTGACATTATGACTTGACAATTTTCAGAGGAATTTTTGGGGTTGTGTTTAAGCACTGCCTGACTAAAAAATCCTGGTGTTTACAGAAATTATCCCTACCGACTATCTTAGAGTGTATATTTCATTTTTTATAGCTATTTCTTCTTCAAATGCAACTGCAGAATATTCAGGGATCATAACAGCACAGCTTGTTCTTTGCTATGTTCCATTCTACAACCATATTAGTAGCATATACAACAATGCTATTTTAATGACAATCCTTTTCTGTCTTTAGGCAAAGCTCTTCTAGTGCCTTGGGCACCGCCACAGTGTCCTCCATTTCTGTGAAAACAAGTGGGTTTCTGTACCTTGCTAGCTCACTTCATAAAATTATTTTCATTTTTCTTAGGCTCACATCTGGTGACAGACAGTGGCAGTTCCTAAAGCAGACACGTGGTAGAATTCACCCCTGCGGTGTCTCTCGGATGTGCTAGTTAGTATTTCTGGCTTACTAGTTAAGCGTTTGCAATAACTACCAACTGTACAGCACACTAGTGGTGCACTGTGAGACAGCAGTGCACCAGCAGTTCCTATACCTTACTAAAAACAGCGGCAGGCACTCTTGCTGGAGGGTGTTATTTCTGCTGCAAGGGTTTCACCATGGTCAGAATCCCCTAGTAGCCTCATAGCTGTCGTCCTTACAGGGGACTAACGTAGTGTGGCATTGAACTGTGTCTGAAATTTAACAGACAGGAGACACCAGATTATTGTAGACTGCCTTGAAATCTCTCTGTGCAAGAGAGGACTGAAAGCGGTTGGATGAGGGACGAGATGATCAGAAAGTAAAAAAACTGTAAACTCGTTACCACAAATCTAACTCCACAGCCTAATGCACATAAATATGAACGTATTGCTGACCAAAGAGTATAGAATGATTTCACAGTATTGTATGAAAAATGTAAATGGGCAACACATACAAAACTTTACTCTTGAAGTTGTATTCACTAGTTCCTGACTAGCAGCCACCCATCTGTTGTAATAATATCAAAAACCCCTTTATAATAACACTCACTTAGGAGCAGCATATACCGTGCAGGACACTTAATTGTAAAAACCTCTATTTTGTTTCTCTGAGTTTATTTGTTTCCATAACATCTTCTATAACAGACATTTTGTCCATTTAAACAACCTTCACAGGACCTTGTATGCTGAGTTTTATTCCTAGGATAACATTTCCCCCAGAAAATAAGTGTTTACAATAATGAGAACACCATTGCTCACAGAAAACCAGTACAACCCAATCACAAGCTCTACAGGAAATACTGGAGAGCATGTATAGTTTTAGCTGTTGGTGTTTTATTGCCTGTAGCAATAGAGCAGCACATCCACATGCATGATGTATTATTGTTTTTAGTTAAGTCACTGATGCTCATTCTATCAGGGCAGTAAGCAAGGTCATACACATGGTTATTAGATCATGATTTTTTATCTTTATATATCTAGGATATAGGTATATCTATATCTAGATAGGATAAAACAAATATACATATTTGTGTATATATACGTGTGTGTGTATATAAACGTGTGTATGTATATATGTATATATACGTACACACACAAAAGGATTTATTTTCACAGGAATACGGAAACAAAACCCAAAAAGGACAGCGTCTATGTACAAAAGGAAAACATGGAAAAAATGCAAGAATCCCTAGAGTTAACATTCTTATTTTGTCCATTGCTTATTTCATTTTATTGCCATGTTTCCCACCGTTAGCAGAAACTTAAATGGATAACTTGCTGTTAATGTACACAAACCCTGCGTCAGCTCCACCCCATGAAGAACAAAAATCAAAGCCCTAACCCCAAAATAAATGTTGAAAAGTAAATTAGTTTTAATTTTGTTGTCAAAAGAAAGGAAAAAAAAGGAAAAAAAATTAAAGGAAAAAGAAGTCCTCATGTTAGAATCTGTTCAAGTAGGAACTTAATAATAAGCATTAACTTTTGAAAGTAAAAACATGGATTTTTTAAGAATATAAAAACCTCTACTAAAATATCTTGACTTCATACAATATTTTGTTAAGTATACTTTGAGTTCCATATGTCAGGCACTTTGTGATTACATTATTATTCATATTATTCTATCAATGTTTCTAGAAATTAAAGACACTGAAATTCAAACGTGCTGTGGCAGGTCTTGCATTTATAAACAAATACAGCTCCAGAGCTGGTGTATTCATTTCAATTTAAGAAATCCTACAGAAAATCTCTTTTGATATGGTTGCTTACAATATCAACATGTTTTCTACATTATTAAATTCCACTTGAGGCCAATGAATACTATGCCCAAAAGTCAGCCTACTCTGGTCCATTCCTCTAAAAGACACTGCACTGGAAAAAACAGCAAAAAGTTCTCAATAATGAAGTGCACTGCTCCGAACAAGTGGAAACTGTTTTAATACAGTTTCTTATATATGGAAGCAAAAATTGCATGTTGCTTTATAACCATCAAAGCCTCATGTAGAGTTAATAGCTTAATATTTAAGTATCACAAGTTCTGCAACAGGGCTTAAGAATGCTGTTTCAATGATTTCCTAAAACACTGCCTGTGTACATATCTCCCACAGAAGCTCCCAGGCACCCAGCTAGTTTACCTAGGGAAGAAAATGAAGACCAACTATCTGATTTTAAATATAAATTAAGAGAAATGGTATTCTGAAGAGAATTCTGGAAATCAAAGTGAGGATTACACCAGACTTCTGCTAGTCTACAGCCATGGTGCTCAGCAATTGTGCCCAAACACTTAAAACATTATCATACTGAAGGCCTAGTATCTGCTCATGCTTATATTGCAAACTTTATGGACTAATTATTCCATAGTTGGAGGTTCTTCAAATGATCAGTTATTGTGCTTGGATGACAAAATAGATGAAATTCTGAAGGAAAGATTCTTGCCTTCTTAGTTCTTAACCAGAAAAAATTAGTTACAGACTGTCTGGATGTGCTCCCTCCTTGCCCTGCATTGAATGGCTTGTGTCAGATTTATCCTTGTCTAAATCCATTTCAGTAAGCTACCCCTATTCCATACTCTAAAAAGGCTCTCAATTTTCAAAGAGTGCAGACGTCCTTTATAATTAGGCTGTAAAAGAACTGGACAGACAGTTCCATTCCCCACGCTTTTACCCCTAACTTTTACTCTCTGCAATTCTTTTCTAGAGTTAGACTACTTTACAGGCACATGTAAGGTATGCGAATAGCTCTTTTCCCCCTCTTCTTTCCCAAAAGTCACGAGCTCTCCTGAACAATCATTCCATTTTAGACTCCATAGCTATTCTACATCAACGCACAGGGGTTACTTCACATATAAGTTCATAGTCGTGAAGTTCAGCATTTGTTGTGATTAACACTGCCTAGATTCATTTATTTCCTCACCAAACATTTGGATTTACATTTCAAAGGCTATGATGCCTTTCTGCTGTGAGAAGGCATCATGTCTACTAATAAGCATGACTCACCCATGTCTGCAGTGACCATGGTGGACTGATTCTCTGGTACCGAAACAGAATTCTGGTCCATGCTGCGTGAGTCTTCGTTAACCTCATGCTGGCTTTGGCTGAGCTCTGACCGCAGCTCTGAATACTCATCTTCCTCCCTGGGAGAGAGAGCAAAGGCAGAAATAAAATCCTCTGAGGAAATACATATCTCTGTGACGCTTATTTCAGACCTGTAGACTGAGCCACAGGACACAATCCACAGAAGCGTGTTTTGTCCAGCCAGTAGGGAAGGGTTTATATCCTTTACCGCAAAGCAACTGTGCTATGCCCATTACACCCACTCGCAGCATCTGGTGCCTGGTTTCCATTTCTTTATTCCCAGGTTCATTATTACTCCAGACCACCGTACAAGGAAACAATGGGTGGAACTGAGTGCAAGCAAGGATGTGTGCAAGAAGGATATACAGTGCTCTGCAGTAACTCACCAACTCACAATTCTTAATCAGCACAAGTGGCTTTTGATCCCAAAGTGGATTAGCAATAACCAATTTTGGTCTCTTTCTCAGTTCGAGGATGCCATCGGCTTGTGTGCAAAGCAAGCGTCCAAATGCACATACCTGCATATGTGTATCAAAATGCTCTTGGGGATAAATAGGTTTTTCATTTTCTCTTCTCAAAAGGAAGAGAACAGATAAGTGAGTATAGCACTGAACTGCTGGAGTTAGTGGAAAATAAAAAAGCCTCAATTACCTAGGTTCTAACTTATTTGTCAAGCTGGTTCTACTAAAATAATCGAGGACACAGAATACTTTAGGTAAAGCTAATGAGCTTAAAAAATTAGGGCTTTTCCCTCCTGTCTCCACACGAAGAGTTCAAAGCACTGGGAAAGAAGATAAGTAAATGAATAATAGCTTTGCCTGAGAACATTTGTAAACATTTTTTCTTTTGATCTGCTTGCTGATTCGACTCAGAATTTTTTTTGTACTTCCATAGTGACTGTGTTGACATTAAAGTATGTATTTTAAACATGAGAAAAACACCAGCTTATCCAGGTGCAGAGCCCCTCCGATAAGTAAGCAAAAAGCCATCATTTTGTTATACACTAAATCAAATGCAGAGATTCATTTTGTTGCAGATTCAGCAGAAAAGTGTGAGAATGGAACTGTCTGGATTTGGGAACAATAAGAAATAGCAAAGAGCTATCTGGAGATCTGCATCTGGGAGGGACACCTGTAATGTTAAGTCTGCTGTGTGTATGCTACATGGTGATGAGTGTTTCTTGCAGAAATATTGCAGGATTTAGCCTGGAGGTGTGTCTGGATTTGCCAGGCAAAAGAGCAGAGAAGATGGCCCATGCATACAGGGAACAATGACAGAAGTCAAGTCTGCTCTCAAAGTAGCAGAGGTGACAAGTTATGAACCAGGCCAACTCAAAAAAGGCATTTCAGCTTGCTTGCCAAGCAGGGTTTCCCAAGGTACTGAGATGTAATTTCTACAGAAACTATAATGTTCTTCTACCCCTTACATTTGCTTCAGTGCAAAGGAAGTCTGACTTTATCAGAAGCACTCACTGACTATTATTAAACAAAAATGCAGGTCAGCTGGTTAAAATTGAGATTTAGGTCAAAGAAAGGTCTTTAAGGTACCATGCAATACACGTTTAAGAAAGTGTGAGAACTAGATCATGAATAGCAGGAATTAAAACAGTGTCATGAAGACACATAAGCTTGAGTTAATGTTCCATGAATTCGTTTATTATTAGCCACAGCACAAGCCAGTAGTAATTAGCTTTAGACAAAAACCATTACCAAGCACTCAAACAGTTGCATTTTTTTTATCTGAAGGTAACTCATTTTTTCGTTTATGGAACAATTAGTCCTACATTTTTAAAAGCTGGATTTCCTCTACAAATGGACAGGAGGCTGTACTGATCATAAAACAATGCCACATACAATAATAATTTCTCGTCACTCTTCTTTTTGCTCTTGTTGCGTAGATTTTCAGTTTAAAATCCAACACAGCTTCATCTCGCTAGCACTAGTGCTGTGTTCTCCAGTTTAGGCATCCTCAGTATCTCGAGGCCATTGAGAAGTACGTCACGTGGCAGGACTCGCACCCTTCCAACAGCTCAAGCCAGGAGTCAGGTTCTGAATGAACTAATGCTTCTAAGACCTGACCAGAAAGATCAGAAATCCACTTCTGGTAAAGTGACAGCAAGGTCAATTGGTCTCTCCACCACTAGTCTCACAGGGGGCAGACTGAGGGCTAAAAACACAAGGGGGAATTCGAGGGGAGCGATGCACCACAAACATAAATTCTGCCTTTAAATCTGATGTTGGCAGTGAGAGAAGATACACCCCAAAACAGGAGAAGAGTCCTCCAGTGGCATTGGAAATGCAAGGTGCTCGGCAGCTGACGATGAACTCTTGGCACACCACCCAGAAGGTGGAGGTATGACAACTTCCTTGTTGCTGCCGTCTTCTAGGGCCTGGCTGGAGAAAGCAGGTATTTGGGCCATATATGGGCCCTGATGGTTCCCCGTTGCTGGAATGTCATGGTGAGTTGGAGGCAATTAAGATCAGATCAAGACGTTGTAAATGCAGAGCGGCCTGGGATCAATGTTGGAGCAAAAAAGTGTTTTACAGGTACGTCTGCACTTACTGCTTTCCTCATGTTTGGGTGCAACCAAGGATCACAACTGCTGCACAGACACAGAGAAAAACTTGATCAAATCGTGAGCACACTTTCAGCATCCTTTCACACCACTGACGACTTCTGCCAGGATGCTGGCAAGGTGCACATTCTCTTCACGGCTGCAAACAGTGCATAGTTTCACGCTTCAGGTGCCAGTAGTTTTTAACAATCATTCCACTTGAACAAGTATTTTTAAAGCATTCTAAGACCCTATAGAAAATACTACAGGTGTATGTGCACTGCAACCCAGAGATTGACTGCTCCCTGCATGTACACACTTGAGGTCCCTCTGAACTAGTTCACTTGTGAACAAATAGCAACACACTTGAGATAACATGGCAATTAATCACTGAAGGCAGGTGGGGCTGGGCATTGCATGCTGAAGCATACACTATCACACCCACACTGCCATTTGAAATGAATTCAAGTAGCTTCCAACTAGCACATATTTAGAAGCTAGAATCAGACCTCCAGGTCATTGTGTAAATATGACTGTAAGTGCCACGTGTTATTTCTTGTGGTGCTGTAGTTTATTCACTCTCCTTCTTCCTCACTAACTCCAACACAACCTACTTTCTGAATATATTTCAGATTAAAAGCTGTAAGGCTGAACAAATGGTTTTACAGCAATGGGTTATACGCTTCTTGACAGCTGTTTCAAATAATCCTTGGCAGGCACCAATATTCAACGGAGTGTATTTCTGTTTGGTATTGTTAAAGTTGCTTATTATTTTTAGAGTTGCACAGATGTACCCAAACAGCCACTGGTTTAGAACTAAAATCAATTTGACCTCTGCCTTCTTTCTGTTGCTGAACCTCAATCTGACATCTAAGAAAGACTGTCAGTCATAGGCTGAAGTTGTTTCTGCACAATCAAGTTACAGATCATTTTGCCAGCCAAAGACATGATTAAGAAAAAAAAGAGTTGAGTTTGAATGAATCTAAGGCAATACTAAAAACGTCTGAAGTCAGGAATACTCACCTTTAGACATAATTCCCTTTTAGTATACACTACTGTGTAATTTGCAAATCCTTTCTGTGCTTCAGAGTTATCAGGTGTATCCTTTATGTCCAAGTATTTACAATATGATTCTACAATTGGGAAGATCCATTTGAATGGCTTTGCTGTCTTCTAAGTTGTACACACTTGGAGAGAAAATGGGAGTAGGCATATACCTTGTCAAAGGACAGAGAACCTTTGCATTGCAAAAAATTTGTCTTCTACAAATTGAAACAGCAGAAGTAGGGGTAACACTGCCACCGGTATCCACTCGACATGCTAACAGAAACCCCAAGCTAGCACCACTCAGTGAAAGCTGTTCACTCTAAAAGAAGCTGACAAAACGTGCTCTGCACAATCACCATAGGCCCTTCTGCCCAACAGTCTTGCAGAGTTTGACGAAAGCCTTTGACTTGAGTTTTACAACGAACTTAAGCGAAATACTAGCCATCTCTTCCCACTCTCTCCCTAGTAATGTAGACAAGAAGAGTGAGACACTGTCACACAAGTATATTTTTCCCAGAAAAACATAGCCAAGGTTTATGTCTCTAGACTGCTCAAATAAAAAGAAGCATCCTCATCCTAGTGGAGCACTTCTTTAGTGTCTTTTTGCTCCCAAATTGCTACCTCCTTGAGCTGGTAGTGGGTAAATTCTGCACTATCACACATGAAGAACTAGGCAAGCAAGAGGCTCGTCTAACTTGCATAGTAGGAGTATAGGCAACTCTCTTTTTGGCCTTAATATCAAATTGGTTACAGCTGTATTTCAGCTTTTTTTTGGTGAGGTTGGGCTTCCAAACCAGCTGGGCTGTTGAGAGCAGCAGCAGGGAGATGAGACAATTGCAGATGAATGTTGGCTTGCTCCCACAACTATGGTGACCTCATTTTCCTTAGGGAATGCTGGAAGAACGTAACACAAGAGCAGCAGCTAACTTCATGTGGCCACACACATGGAACTTGTTGTACCCAAAAAATGACTAGCAAACCTAGAACGATCCTGGAAACGTCTAAAAATACTCCTGTAAGATTACTGTTACTAAGATCAGCATATCAGATATACCTGGGAAGAGGCACAGGCTTTGACATGTGACTTAAGCTCTCTTCTAGAGCTGGCTCTAAACCACATGAGCAAAAGCCATTATGCTTCAAGCTGTGTAAAACCCCGGACATTGCAAGGGCGGGGGGGGAACCACACCAAAAAACAAAGAGAGAAAAATTCTCAGAATGGAGAATATTAACTAGCTTATACAGCCTGCCAACACTCCTCAAACTGTTGCAATACCTTATTCAGATTTAAACACTCCTTCCGCTTACTTTCTGCCCTACTTTCTGAGGGTACTACTCACATTCAAACAAAGAGCTACAAATTTAAAGATAATACAGCTTAAGGAGGATAGTCAAATACCCTCCATGAAACTCTGTTTTCTTCTAATTGTTTCCAGAATATTTTGGGGTTTTGGAAGGAACCACAAAGAATGTCATAAAGCAGCAGTACATCACGCTACACGTTAGTTTATTTTTACAGCCTAAAAACGTTACACGAAAATACTGAATAATCTCTGTGTCAGCACAGAGGGGAAACATTGTTATGCAATTAATGTAAACTCAAGAAAACTGCTTCCAGAAAGACAGCCTAAATTCTGTGATGGCACAAGTAAAGCCTCCATTTAGTATGACTTGCAGGTATCCAAGAGTTAAATCAAAACTAAAATCCCTCCTGTGTTCTGGTTTAGAGGAAAGCATAAATGCCGAGGCCCTAGCAGGGCCATGCTCCCAGAACCCTTTCCCTCAGGACTGTTTTGTTCCAGCCCCTGGGCTCGTAGTCCCCACAGCCAGGGGTGGAGCGCTGTGAGTCACACCTGTCCCAGCAAGGACAGCAGTTACACCACCCTTGCTCTGTGGGATGGAACAGCTTCTCAAGAGTGATGCAAGTAGATCCCAGAGCGGATTTGCAGAAAGTCACAGCAGGAAGTTATCAGTTTTCCTTCTTTCAGTACAAACCCTATGGAATCCCTCCAATTCTACCTCTGCGTGCCATTTTTAGGAGGAATATTACTCCTCTGTTCCCCAGACATAATTATTGGCCTGCCAAAGAAAACAAGCGATTCCAATCATTAAAGAAAATAAAAAATCCACTAACTTAATAAACATTTTTGTTCTTACTAATAAAACCAGAAGAAATAAAAACAGAGGAGGCGTCCTAGCTGTCTCAGCAAAACGAGCTCTCATACGATGAGGCCAAACAGGTGGGGCATGACAGTGGTGTGGCACCTGCTGCAGCAGTATTGTCCTGATGCCTTCAAAAGCCTGCGCCCCCCAAAGGGGCAGCAAGACTGCACTTTGTGTGAGAAGCAGCATGCACTCTCCAACTTCGGTTCTTATGCCTCGCTTTCCTGTGCATGCCGCAGCTGACTTGTTTATGGACATGGTTAAACATTCACAGTATCCATCTGATTCCAACATTCTGTAATTGAACACCACTTGGCATTTAGCTTGCCACAGCGACTCCAAACAAACAATTTTTATGGATTCTATGTAATATTTTTCTTAAATGTCATAGAGTTCTTCTGCCACTCAAGAAAAAAATATCAGTGCAGCTCTCATGCTTCTCAGATTTTGCTTTTCAACCAGTCCTTTCAATTGGTAGAGCTTTACCAGAGAGGAGGGCTGGATGGGCAGCCAGTATCACGCTGAAAAGAAAGGTGACTTGAAACAACACGAATGGGAAGTTTGTCTGCAGAAGTATCAGGCATGAATGAAAAAGGGAGTCACAGAGATTTTTTCAGAGAAGTACTACCAGTTTAGAAAATACTTACCTGAAAAATCTCATCATGATCATCGCTAATTACGATCATCATTTGGCTGTATTTATCTTCTTAAATAACATTAACATAACGTGATTCTATCACTGCTTTTATAATGGCATATATGCATGATGATGCTTTCTCTTATCTGTGGTACACCAAACCTTCTTCTTTTTGCACAGAAATATTTTCACGAAAGGTTAAGTGAGTAGTTGTAACAACATTGCCTTGTGCTAGTAGAAATGTTTATAAGGAAGAACACATGAAGCACTTATCAAAAAACTTGCAGCTAATAGGCAAGGAAAACTGAAAATTTGCTACATGGGTAGAGCACCATGTCAACAATACCTACAAAAGCTCAAATCTAATTTTATGTTCTCTAGAAAATCCCTAGATTCTAGTAGTTTAGTTGCATCCACACAAGATAAACTTTAAGAAGCTCCTTCCTCCTTCTAGTTCAACTTTCTCCAGGTTGAGAATGATGGCTAAAAGCAAGTGAGGAAAAATGAGTGTTTTCCTGTAGTCAAATGTAAAGTTTATTTTAACACAGTAAAAAGTAATGACCTAATGTAATACCCCAAGCTTTGCTGCTCCTGGAACAGACAGCAACGTGATTGGTACCATTGTGTTTTGTCACAAATACCAGTACAAGTGGATGCAAAACCTACTGAAATCCATTTGACCTATAGGATGTCACAAAATAAAGTTAAAAGCAGAGGTGCAGGCTGGGTGGCTACAACTTCCTTTATCCACCACTGCTATCACTTATCTGGTACCCCTGTATGTATGTTACACTAAAAGGATATTTAGATGGCACAGTGCAGTTCTTTGCAGTGCTCGTTAGGCTTTGCAAAGTGTGATTTGGCCAGAGAGAATGTAGCACTTTTGAGCCTCAGGATGATACTCTGCAGAACGCATGCATACCTTAATTATGGGCAGCTACTCAGTACCAGTCATAACAAGCCTAACTACCTTAAAGTCACCATCAAATTATATTTAGAGTATAATTGCACCATTCTTGCATTGGCACAGAATTTCCAGGAAGTTGTTGTACCTTATTGTTGTTCCCTGTAGTCGATCAATTTTCTTATTTAATTCAGCAATGATACTGTGCAGTTCTGTGATTCGTTCCTCGTAGCGTAGTGTTGTTCGCTCCTGCACGTCTTCGTGCTCTCTCATTAGGTGGGATTGTTCACACTAAAGCAGAGAAGCAAGGAACAGAAAGAGTCTTACGAATAACTCGATAGAGATCAGATACCAGGCAAAAATGCACACCATTAATGGTTTTCTTACTCATCAAACCAACACTGCCTTAGCAAGAGAAAAGGACAGATGCAAAATATTGACAGGTGCACAAAGGTATGTAATTACAAGACGTTAGGAACTGAAAAACTATGCAGTGTACTTTTATTATTTTTTTTCCTAAAGGTCAGAAGTTGCCCTCCTGCTTGAACAAAAAAACACCATTTGCAACTCAAAATAGCTAGAAATATCTCATCTTTGAATCCATGAGATTCACCATGAATCTTCAAGTATCTTCCCAACATGGTCTGAATTAGAACAAGTCTTAAGGCAGAAGCCCCATTATTATAAAGAAAAGTAACCACACTTTGAGATTATGACTCCTTCTCTAGTACGAGTATTTGTTTTCATTAACGTTTTCATTAAGATAACATAGCATATTTTTTATTATTTTAATCCTCTACAATAAAATGCTTATTATTTGAACAATTAAAAGGTTACATGGCTGCTTGTTTTTGATACGTATCACAAAATCCTCCTTTTTCTTACCAATAGAATTTTAAATCCAGCCTCTCTGGCTTACTCTTCACTCCAGCAAACGCTCTACTACAATTACAATCTACTGCAATTACAATCCAACAGTGCATGCTGATTGAAGTTATGCTTGGGAGTGACTGGAAAGAGCAAGACTTCTAACTTTTTGCTTCTGACTCCCTGCAGGAAACAGTCAAGCCTCCTTGCAACCACAGAATGGTATGTGCTACAAAAGAAAATTGACAAGCCAACTGACAGTACAAAAATCACACCCGTTAATTGAAGACCTGCAATGTAAGATCCTAGTAGCATTTCTAAAGGGTACAATTTATAGTAACGTATGAGATCCTCCAACATTGCTGCATTAAAACTTATTTTTTCAAATCAAGTAAACACTCTATACAGAGGTAACTCCCTCAACCCTTTGTATCATAAATACAAAAATTATACCCAATGTAGCAGGTATGCCAGAATTTTCATAGTTTGCTCTCTCATTTTTTGGCCACTCACATTCACAGCTTGAGAACATGATCTACATAAAAGGCTCCTTGAAAACTGAGATTTATGTTGAGCTTCAATAACATTTTTCTTTTAAATAAAACTTATTTCAATATTTTTAAGTTCCAGGAATATGCACATTGAAAGGTAGCCCAGACATTGGGAGCACCTGTCCACAAACTACAATAAAATAGTATCTTATTCCAGCTGGAGTCAAAAGCACTTTCACTTATACTAAGACAAATAGACCGTATCTTCACACTGAAGAGGAAAGCAAAGAGTCACCTTTTAGAAGACCAATAATGTTCACCTGGCTTGTAAGACTTCATGTTGGCAACTGACATGGTTATACATGTATATTATGAACGACTCACTCTTGTAGGATCATTCCACAACTTATTTCTCACGTTTCCATATCTTAACATCGTATCTGGCTGAAGAACTACCACGGCTTTCAAAGTGCAGAAATAACACAGAGAAAATGTTTAACAAAAAGCTTTAGAACAGATTTAAGTGCAATAAGAGTTGCTTATTCTGCCCTCCTAAACCTAAATTTCCTTTGACACACATTGATGCCCACAAACGCTACCTAAGCATTATCCAGATCAATCAATTATGTGCATTATGGTTTTTTTCTTTTAAACCAAAAGGATGTTTGCGATGGAGTGTGTAATGGCTATTTTCAGACAATAAATAAAAACCCTATCACAACAATTTTTGTCTTTCTGAGCTGTGCACTGCAAAGCAGAATTTGTTTATCTTGACTGAAGATATATTGACTCTTGCTAATGGACCTCAGCCACATTACCAGATTTGCTTTCTCTTTTCTCTAGCCATTTCTCAGTCACCATTTTTCAGGATAACTATCATTTAGTGACAGACATACTTTGTGAACAACCAGCAGTCTGGCAATATAAGACAACAGCTTCAGATTTGATTTTTTAAAAGGGCTCTTGGATTATCTTGGACAAAAGTAACTGGAAAAGGCAGAAAGGAAACCTCTGTGAAAGACAGGACATGATGCTAAGGACTGTTGTGCCTTGGAGGTGGGTACAGAGTTACGTCTCGTAAGTTCTGGTCAGCCATGACAATTCTCAACTAAAAAAGGCAAAAGCATCCAAACAATGGAAACATAGTTGAGTATGAATCCTAAAATGCAGCGATGGAAAATTCTTCTGGTTATACAGGATTGCTCCTTATTATGGCACACTTATCTCAAAGCTTAAAAGGGAAAAGGAACAAATGCATGTTTTGCTACCCATTGCTAAAGTTTTTTTCTGGGATACTGAACCTGTTCATCAACCTCTTTAGCTTCTGTGTCCTTTGAGTCTCAGAACAATGATCTGCCACCAGTTCCTATTTCTTTCCAAGGTGTACACATTCAGCTCTTGCAATTTATTTGTGTATCAGTCACACAAACTTTTTAAGATAAATACCTTACACCCTTTTCCTTATCCTTCTTCCAGCCTCCTACTTGAGTTCTGATCAAAACCATTAAGAGCTCTAATTCTCTGAGAAAGCAAACACGGGGATAATCCACTGAGAGGCTGCAAAAGGTGAGCAATTGTTGAGGTCAGGAGAGAAGTTTCAAGCACAGTTCTCAGTGTAAGTGACCCTTGGCTGGTTTTCGGTACAGACTAAAAAGGTTATTTCAATTACAGTATAAATTAACAATGCCTGGAAACACCTTTGTCTGACCTCTTGATGCTGGAAAACAACCACAAGAGCAAGAAGAGTATGAGGGAGAATGATGATCAGGGAAAATATTTTAACCCAAGGATATTGTCTCACCACATGATTCTACTGCCTATTAACGTACACAAATTCATAGTGCAATAAACACTACCAGTGCAAACATTTAGGTTAAATTTGCAGTGTTCAGTCAGACGACAAAGGAAGAACCACCAGCAGCAGTGCTGGGTAAGAGATCTCCCAGTGCCTCAGGCCCTGCAGAGACAAACACCGGCTATTGCATTGTTCACCAAGAATACAAGTCATCACCTGAATGAGCCACGATGATAAACCTGTTTAACAGCCTCACAGGAGCTCAAAATCTTTGCTCAGCTAATACAGTATTTTAATTTAAGAGGAGTGGCAGATTTTAAAGTGGCAATCCATTCATCTAATTTTAAGTATGAACACAAGTCCATTGTGCCAAATCCTCAATCATGAAAACATGCATGGTCAGAATTAATTGCTTGGTGGTATATTCTGTGTATACTTGATGTGGAAGAAGAATACAGGTACACAGGACTAATCCATGTGAGATAAGGACGTCACACAACAGAACGAGTAATTTCAACGTTCATCTGAACACCATGCATTTCTATTTCAAGTTATTTTGCTAAATGAGAAACTGAAGCCTTCCTGTTAAGTTCTTATACGCCTACAGAGTGTTGCTTTTATTCTTACACTGAAATCCTGCTGCCCCTCCCTATATTCTGAATAATAGAAAGGATGGTAAAGAATTATTACTGCAGTAATGGGACCTATTGCTGTGTGATACAGGATCCAGAATGATGCAGCACAGTCTTTGTTACCCTGTGCCTAGAGCTATTATAAAATTCCAAAATTATAAGGGTTAAGCACAAAGAATGAGAGAGCAGGACTACCTTGTGAAAGGAGATGAAACAGTAAGAAAGATGTAGTAAGTGAATTGCCTATTCTTATTGTATTTGCTGAAATGTTCAGCATGGTATTCAATCCCATGTGCTATCATAAAACTGCAGAACTCAATGTCACAGGATGCAGGAAATGCCAAGAATGTAGACGGATTAGAAAGAAGATTAGATAAATCCATGGAGGATAGGACCACAGAGGACTTTTAAATGTGATGCAGCCTCCTGCTCACAGATGTTGGCAGAAAGGTGGGGGAGTATGAAGGAGGACAACTCTCTGCATGCATTTCTTAGGCTCTCCCTTCAGACATCCACTATTTGTCATTATCAAAGCCAGGATACCGTGCCAGACAGAACTAGTAGAAAGCACTACTTTTCTTCTCATAACCACAGAAAGATTTCTGGAAGAAGACATTAGTTGTGGTTGACCAGTACTTTACAGCAAATCTCATTCAAGAGATCACTCCACTGCCAAATGGTACACCGATACAAACACAGAGACAAGGAGACCTGCTCTCTTACTGAAATAATAGAAGGGTGTAGGCAAATGCTATAGCAGGTCTCCACAGACTGGAGTTTTGGAAACGAGCATGATACAACAACCAGATGTACAACAATCAATTACGTCCTCTTACAAAATTTTAAGCACAGTCTATCCAACGACCTTTCTTCACCATTTGTCATCTATTACTTGAATTGTGGTTCCCCAAATCACCTTCACTCTGCAAATCACTAATCCCTTCTTCCAGAGTGTCTCACATGCCTCACAAAATGATGGGAAAGGTATTACCAAAAACGTGTTTTAAGAGCTATTTGTTCCAGAGAGCATTTACCATGCCAGCTGAAATGAAACATGCACTGCCTTTGTAAGTATAGTCCAAATGCAGAACAGAGATCTAATACTGACCCACTAGCATCTGAATATGGTTATGGAGAACCTCAAACACCTCCTATTTAATTTATGCCTTCTGAACCTCTGATTCGCATTAGTGAGGAAGAAATGCATGAGACAGAGGTTGTAGAGGAAAAAATGATATGATATGATATGATACACAATTCAAACTTGGATGAATCTCTGTGGAGTGGGAGAAAAAGTTCAAAAAATTATGTTAAGTGCAGAATCTACTTGGAAGTGATGCAGTTAGAAAAAGAAGAAAGGTGAAGTGGTTTCACCAGAGTCTCTCTCAGTACTTAAACATAGCCAACACATTCAATATATGAGCCCTGCTTGTTTAATGGCTTATTCCTTAAGAAAGACTGTATTTTATTTAATATACACCCCCAAAAATTTCTATCCACTTGAGGGCTTTTTAAAAAAAAATTGAAAAGAGCTAAAATATTAAAACTTTATATGAATTGTTCATTAAAAAGTAATTTTTTCATCTGAAAGCTAGCTAGCACACTAGCTTTCAGATATTCTGATTTTGTGTTATTCACAGTTCGGGTAGCAGTCATCACTACGCTTGTGTTCACAAGCACACAGCCCAAGATCATGTAAAAACCCTCAGCATTACAAATCGAGCACTACATACACATGCATAATTGGTAACCCATCAAAGAAAACAGCAAACAATCTCATGCTAACAGAGCACATGTTAATTGGGATTAAGGACTGATCTTTAATCCCAGTGATCATCAATGGGGATTCATCACTGTATGGGAGCACCTACAAAGATCTGGAAATAAAACTAAAACACTATCAAAAAACTGTGATTAGCACAAGACCCTGCAGAGTTATAAATAACAACAAAGTCAGTGTAGTCATGCAGAATGATGTGGATCGTTTGGATACAGTGGATCCATCCGACTGTTTAATGATTGTCAAATGCAGCCTGTATGTCAGAAAGAGGACTCTATCTCAGAGTGCAGTTGAAATTAGAAAAGGCTCTCAGGATTATAGCTGATAAACAACGTTAACTCCCAGTGTGGCTCCAGCTCACATATTGAGGGAAATAAAAACATGAAAGTGTTTTTTATTTCTGGATGTTGCATTGATGGTCTGCAATAAGAGTATCACTTACAAGCCTAAAAGCCTTAAAGGTAGCTGAAAAAACATCAGGGAATGTGGACAAGGGCCAAAATATGGTTGGAGGACTGAAGTACGAGCCTTAAAATCTAGACTGTCTAAACATTTCTACATTTGGCTTGAGTTTAAGTAACACACTGATACGAGCCTCTACCAAAATACACTGAATACTGAAGACTCCAAATTCGCAAAATCACATAATGGCTGACTTGACAGGGACCTCTGGAGGTTATTCATCCAACCCCTTACCCAACTCAGGGAGGGTCACCTAGAGCAGGTTGCCCAAGACCAGGTCCAGGTGGCTTGAATACTTCCAAGGTTGGAGATTCCACAACCTCTCTGGGCAACAAATAAGATGCCATACTTTACAGGACAAAATGCTTTGACTGTCTCTATGCAATTATAAATCAGTATATATTTTGAATTAGTTTTGAATTGTAAAAGGTATTGGCCAGAATGACAGTATCTGAAAACAAAGGTTTTGTTTATAGAAGAGAGAAGTATTAAGAACAATAGCTCAGTTTTCCCTGTTTGCATTCGTCTCTACATTTACCTTGATCTGAAAAGATTTTTTTAAGAGCTGTGAAAGCATTAGAGTTCAGACCTTATCCCTATTTAATCCCTTGGCTTTCCACTGACTATGTTTTCCACAACAGATATATACAAACTGGCTTACTAGAACCTAGACTGAGATCACAAATCATTTCTCACACATCACCAAAGCACTGCCAATTGGCAATAGCTTTTGATCAGCGTTAATTTGTGCTGTGTTTGAATCTGACCCAGGAGTGGAAGGCTCTGCAATCAGTTACCTAATTCACTGAGAGTATGCTGCAATTTTTATATTCTGAAATATTTCAAAGCAGTTGCTGTTTATATTGGCTTCAAAACAAAATTAATCTAATTCTTTCTTGGTATTTTTTAGAAGAATGTCATCAGCACATAAAATTCTTTTTACTTGTGACATTGTTCAGATATTTTATCCTCTCCCCACATACCATATTCCTCTCTGAAGAACAAGGACAACACAAAACAAAGGACCATCTTCAGAATCTTGAACTGTTGCTCACCTGTGCTTTTGCCAATTTCTTTTCCAACAGGTCACGCTCCCTTTCTGTTTGTTGTAGACGTTTATTAAGCTCCACTATGTCTCCCTTTAATGAAGCCAGGGCTGCTAAATGAAGCTAGAAGACAAAAAATAAGAAACAAATTAACCAATTCACAAGCCATGTAGCAGCAGCATTTGAAAGAAGATACAGTATTATACAGCAGCTACAGTATCTGTGGATTTCTGCAGTAGATAATAGGAACTTTAGTATAACAAAGTCTAAAAGAATTTCACATGCTACTAAATACTTTTCATATGGAATTCTTCTCTCCAGACAGCACACACATTCCTTCATCAGAAAACACATTATAAGAATAAATACAATGAAGTATAATTCAGCTGGAAATGTGTAGATTAGTTCTAACGTTAGTTTAACAGGAAGTAGCTTGAGTCTTGTGTTATAAAACCTTACATTAAATGTTGACTCAGATTTGTATTATAAAAGAAAGTGTATCATGTTTTGATGCCTTCAGACATATAGTGGTTATCAGTCTGGTGACGGGAATAACTCCATGCATAGGATTCAGTTTTGTTTTGCAACTAAAGCTTACTTCACTACTGCTCTGTAATTGTTGTTCTCCTCGGTCCCATGTCAGGGAGTTTCAATGATTCTAATCTACTGAAGCCACACATGAAGAACCTGAACTGTTTTTTTTTCTGCAGTAGATCCTTTTGATGAAAGATACATTCTACATTTAACTGATAGCATGTGGAAATATATAGCAGACTAGGATAACCAACATCATCTAAATTACATTAGCTACGTAACTTAGAAATCAAGAACAATTCTTAAAAGAATCCTATACTTGTAATGCATTTACACTCTTTTCCTGTCTCACACTCTCTTAAATATCCCATTGATCGTTACACCAAAGGCATCAGCTAGAATTCAACACCCAGTGTTGACAAATACAACTGAATAGTCCAGGAGGAAAACTAGCCACTAAGTCTTTCCTTTTAGTAGTAAAGAAACAACTCCAAGTTATACTGGGTGAGAAAACAAAAGTGACCTTTCACACTGGACCAGGTAACGCAGCAAACACCGCTCTGCTGCCAAGATTCAGGCTGAAACACAAACCCTGTTTCTAGTCCTCCAGCCAGTTTCAGTCCTTCACTCTGACATTTTATTGGGCGGGTCACTTTTAAGATATTTTTCTTGTTCCATTTCCAGTCAATCTGCTATTAAGTCCCATTTTGATATCAGTTTTACCTTCATAATACTGGAAGCCAGCAAAACCATAGATTTTTTCACATACTGACGTGTGAAAGTAACTGTATGACAGCAGAGAGACTAGACCATTTGGCAACAGCTCCTTCACATACAGTATTCCCATTGTTATAGAAAAGGCCACCTCTGGCTTCAAGACAGAAAACATAATTTTATAAAGATTTTTAGATGTGAATTCTGCAGTTTTAAGTGCAGTGTAACTAGTTACGCTAGAAGCTGTGGACAATCTCATTTGTGAGGTCAGTCGAAAGCATTTTTATTACACCAGCTACAAAAACATCTTACACACATGCAGTATTTCAGTACAAATATACACGTACACAATTTTGTGTTGCAGTAGGTTTAAGATTCTTGAGGCAGCCTCATTTTTCAAGTGAAAAAACAGTAATTCAGGCCTGCTACGGGCATACACTACATAGCTTCTTTCAAGTATGTACGCTGAAATCTCTTAATAAACCCAGAAACACCCTGAATATCTTTAAGTCTTCTTGGCCTTCAGCAGAAGGCCTTCCTTCCTAACACAGGAAACTATGCACTGCTTTTACAGTGTGGAGAAACAAGAACCAGCCTAACTGTACCAATCTGTTCATAACCGACTTCCAATTTTCAGGAAAGCTGGTGCATTTATAAGCCACTGTTTCACCTTACTCCCTTAACAGAGGGAAGTGTTGCAATGAAGCTCGCCAGTTCGTCAGATCGTGCATCCTTCACCACAGCTTTCAAATAATACATGAAGAAATGGCTACAATTCCCTAAATTGAATAAAACAATGCTGCATAGTCAAGTAAGTAGCACTCCCTTTCATACACTATAATTAAATGATCACCAGCTGTGGTTTTAATTAAATACCAGACCAATAATGTCCATACACATGGCGCTGTAATATAAAAGGACACCGTTAATTCAAAAATCTCAATGAAAAACAACTTGTTTTCTGAACAGTGGAACTAACGAGGCAGTCTTCCTATGGATTTGTCTTTGTCCTCTTCCCACACTGCAGTCAGCTCAGCTCTTCTTCACGTCCCCTAGCACACACCAAGCTGGGTAAGAAACAGCATGAATTGTGTCTAGTTTTATAGCAACGCTGCTGCCTGGCCCAGCAGCTCCTGCCAAACAAGGTGTCCAACACACAAGTTACATCAGCCTCCCCATTCAATATAGGGTCTCTCTTCTCCAAGTAACCAAAGGATTTCTTTACTGATTGCAAGGAAAGTCTGTTGCGTCTTTTACTATCCAAAATTACCCTTTCCTTTCATAAATTGGACCAGTCCAGTTTGCGAGTACTAATAAAACAATTAAAAAAATGCAAGTTACTGAAAGGGCAGGCTAGACAACAGGAAGTTATCATACACAGAGGAGGGCTGCTTGGGATACCCTTTGGTTTCATGTATGTACCCAGTGCACACGGCAGTAAGTCACATGGAAGTGGTGCCTCCAGATGCTGCTGCAATACATAATAAGGTTAACACAGCTAGTGTAGCTGTGTATTCTCGGCAGAGCCAGGCTCTCCCCCTCCCCACCCCCGATTTCTTAAAAAAGGTGTTACAAAGTATTGCTGCATCTTCCCTTAAGGTGTGAGCGTTCCCACAGACCAGGCTTCCCAGGGTGTTTGTGTAGCACACAGCAGGGCGGGAACTGGAACACACATCTCTGGATGTGTGTAACACAACCAGGGAAACACCTGAGCAAAGAGCTACAGTCAACAAAAAAGTCATCCTGGGGAAAAAAGCTCACATTTAGAATTCAAATTTAATAATCCAAACTATTGAAGTTGGAAAGATTCCATTTAAAAATCTCAACCAGAAGGCAGTAGGTCAGTCAAGACTGTAACTCTGCAGCATTGAATCACCACGGGACATGACAACTGAGAGAGGAGAACGGAGGTAGCCATATGGCACACTGCTTCTTTTCTCCCCTCAGCAAACAGTGATAGACAAGGCAGAGTTACTATCACTAACATTCATAACAGACATTTATAGTTCAAGGTGGGCTACCTCTTAATGACACAAGACTACGAAACAGATCAAAAACTCAGCAGTTTCTAAAAATTAACACGGACACCACAAAGATTTCTCTTTGTACAACATATTGGTCTGAACCTTTAAGCAACAGCTCCCACACAGAACTACTTCACACAGAGAAAACAGTTCATTGACAAAGCCTGTATTGTTCATAAACTTTATACTGATCCAATACAGCTAGTATTGAATTCCACCAGGAAAAAACCCACTATGTGATGCTGATGCACCCGAACTGTCCAACAGATAAGGCAAGGTCAACACATGTGAGAGCAAGGATTGAAAAGGGATCAGACAAGCCAAGCAACTTGCTTCTCTACCACCATTCAAGGAAATAACAATTCCTTCAGAAAAGAAATTAGATGCATAGTATTAACAAAAAATAGTATTAACCTATCTTAGAAGCTACAATTTCTATGAAATTTTCTGCAAGGACAACAGCAGGTTGTTTACTGGAACATATATACACCACATTTTATACCCAATACTATCCTGCCAGGTTTTTATAGATTAAATATGTAATAACAATTATT